CTGTGGCTGCAGTTTTAAACTCAGATGAGCAGTTTTCCAGATAGGATTTTGATGAGTATAATCAGTGATCCCTTATTTGGGACAGTGAAAAGAGGATGCACCGGCTGGCAGCAGGAGATTCTTCAGACCCTATTTGACACTTTGGGCAAGAAGGGAGCTAAGCTGTACAAGGAGACACAGAAGTACCATCTTCTCTAGAAGCGTTAGGTGAGGCCGCCTGAACAAGTGATTAAATTATGAGCAGCTTGGCAGCTCCTCATCTCTGTAAGCTGGGGAGATGGAAAAGCTTCACATGTTTCTGCTAACTTGGCATATGGTCATGACCTCTTTCCCGCAGGAACCATCTTTACATCATTGAGGAAGAACTTGCCCCATTCAAAAGGAACCAGCACAGTAGCTATAGAAAGACACACTGTAAGAAAGGAAGGGGGGGGAATGGGAAACAAGTGGCAGGTAAAGTACCCACACTAGAAAAAAAGGGTTTTTTACCTTTTTAAAATTTTTTTACCAGTTGAAAATTAGTGCTGGCCCTGCCACACAAAGTCAGAGAATTTAAGAAAATAAAGACCTCCAAGCAGAGATACAGATCAGGTAAAATAAGTCATGGTGGCAGAAGAAAAATATCAGCAGGTAGAGCCCAGGAAAATAGTGGAAGCAAAAACAAAAATGATCACAGAATTAAAAGAATAAAAATGGATACCACTGCTGAAAATACAGTGAGGGATAGGGGAGACATTGAGAAAATGAAATGGAAATAATTAAAAAGAACATACTAGATACAGAAAATAATGAAGATCTAACTTATATAATTGGTGTTCCTGAAGAAGACCAAAGAAATGAAACACAAAAATTCAAATATGCAGTTAAAGAAATAACGGAAATAAAGGTTTGAAGTAAAGAAAAATGGGCACGGAACAGTTGGCAATAAAACATTTCCTAGGAAAGTTTTTATTGTTCATTTTAAAAGTGACCAAAGAATGTTTTGAATGTCCAGGCAAAATAATCCAGTCCTCCTGAAGAGAGAGGGGAGGAATTAGGCCAGCCACATTTGATAGAAGCTGTTGTAGATTGCACTACTATAAATAACTTGGTAGGAGTGTGAGTTGCTATAACCTACTTAGAAAGTAAATCAGCATCTATTAAAATTTAAAATGCACATACCTTCTAATGCTCTTGAAACTCTGGCCTCCAGAAGTAATAACAGCAGGACACAAACACGTATGTCCAAGGCATCAGATGTTTTGGATCACTTAAAAGAATGAGTTGGACCTACATATTGACCTGAGTGATGCCCATTTTTTTACTTAGTAAAAAATAGATTTACAGCATTGGGTATAATATCCCATTTTTTCCTGAAAGTTGAGGGAAAACTTTAATGTAAATTAAAGTGTGTAAATATGGTTGAGCATAGAGAAGAGTGTGGAAGCAACACACACTGAGTTAATAATGTGATATATTGGGAATGGGATGAGGGAGTTGGTAACTTTAATATACCTATACTTTGATTTTATACGATGGTTTACACTTTATAATTCTCTTACAATCTAAAAGTACATTTAAAGAATAAAATAAACCTAATTGAAAGATCATTAAGATAGGTAAAACTTATGTCTGAGTAAGAAAATGATAGAGAATATAATGGTGAGGGGTTCGGTGCAGGATTTGGTTTCTAAATTCTGTTACTCACCCACTTTCCCCTTTGGGCCTTTTTTTAAGGAAGTTATATACAAATAATAGCCAAAGGAGAAATCTGGCTCCCCTCTATTAATAGCTGAAAAAGTACCCCCAATAAAAACACTGAGGACACTGGTCGGGTCGCTCGGTTTGTTGGAGCATCATCCTGATACACCAAGGTTGTGAGTTCAATCCCTGGTCAGGGCACATATAAGAGTCAGCCAGTGAATGTATAAATAAGTGGAACAACAAATTGATGGGTTTTTTTCCTCTTTCTCTTCTCTCTCTCTAAAATCAATAAAAAACCTTTTTTTTTAAGAAACAGGAATAAAGTTAATGAAAAGAATACAAGACTTCTACACTGAAAACTTCAAAACTGCTGAGAGAAATTAAAGAGAGCTGAAATAAATGGAGGATTGCTATGTTTAGGGGTTGGAAGACTCAGTATTTTTAGTATAGCAATTTTTCCAAACTGATTTATAGATACAACACAATCCCAATCAGAATTTCAGCAGGTTTCTTGTAGAATTTGATAAGCTGGTTTTAAAGTTTATAGAGAAAAGTAAATGTGTAGACTAGCAAAACCTCTTTGAAAAAGAACAACAAAGTTGGAGAACTCACACTGATTTTAGGACTTCACCAGAAAGCTGCTCCCATCAAGACAATGTGGTACTGGTAGCTGGACAGGCATATAGACCAATGGGACAGACAGAACAGAGAATCCAGAAATACATGCAAAAACACATGGTCAGTTGATTTTCAACAGAGAGGCCAAGGAGAAAGGAGAGTATTTTCAACAAATGATGCTGAGACAATTAGATATTCATATGTAAAAAAGTGAACCTTGATTTATACTTTGCATTGTATAAAACAATTAAAATGGATCAGAGACCTCAATATAAAACCTAAAACTACAAAGCTTTTAGAAGAAAATATTTGTGACCTGGGATTGGGCAATGATTTCTTAGCTAGAATACAAAAAACATGAGCTATAAAAGAAATGATAAACTGACATCAAAATTTTAAATTTCTCTTCAAAAAACATTGAAAGAAAATAATAGCCATGGCCTGAGACTATACTTGAGCAAAACACATAATTAGGGCCCTGGTTATTGTAGCTTAGTGGATTGAGCACTGGCCTGAGAACTAAAGGGTCACCGGTTCGGTTCCTGGTCCCCAGTTGGGGGCCTGCGGGAGGCAACCAGTAGATGTTCCTCTCCCTCCTTTTGCCCCTCTCTAAAATAAATAAATGAAGTCTTTAAAAACACACACAATAACTAGGGACTTGTATTTAAAATATACAAAGAACTCTGAAAACTCAATAAATAAGAAAACAAGCAACCCAGTAAAAACAGAAGTGAAACTATTCTATGTGCTACTATAACGATGGATACACATTATACATTTGTTAAAACCTACAGAACGTACCATACAAAGACTGAACACTAACTCTGGGCTTTGGGTGGTAGGTTCATCAATTGTTAACAAATACCAGTGGAGAAGACGGTGCGTGTGTGGGGGCAACAGGTATATGGGAACTTGGTACTTTCAGCCTGGTTTGTCTGAGTTTTTAAAAAATAAAGAATTTTTAAAGGGCAAAATATTTGAATGGACTTTACCAGAGAATAAATACAGATGGCAGATAAACACATGAAAAGGTGCTTAGTATCATTAGTTGCTAGGGAAATACAAATAAAAATACTGCTATACCTGTTAGAATGACTTAAAAAGAAAAGCTGGCAATACCAAGTGCTGACAAGGATGTGGAGCATGTGGAACTTCCATGTAATGCCAGTGGGGCTGCAAAATGACAAAGCCATTTAGAAACCAGGTGGGGAGTTTGTTTTTTAATAAAGGTAAACGTACACCATGACCCAGCAATTTCATTCTTGGTTGTCTACCCAAGAAAAGAAAGTTTGCCTACCCCCAAAAACCCTCATACATAAATGTTTATATCCATTTACATTAATGACGACAAACTAGAAATAACCCAAAAGTTTATCAACTGGATATAGTGATTCCATATAGTACAATATTATTCAGCAATAAAAAAAGACACTATTGATACAACACGGATGAATCTCGAGAGTGGCATGCTGGAAGCCAGTCACAAAAGACTCAATGCTATTGGCTCCATTTATCTTTTATTTTTTTAAGGGTTTTATTTATTTTTAGAGAGTGGAGAAAGGGAGAGAAACATCACTGTGTGGTCACCTCTTGCGTGCCTCCTCCTGGGGACCTGGCCTGCAACCCAGGCATGTACCCTGACTGGGAATAGAACCAGTGACCCTTTGGTTCGAAGGTTGGCACTCAATCCACTGAGCCACACCAGCCAGGGCAATGACTCCATTTATATGATATAGAAACGGCAGACCTATAATGGATCATGGGTTCCTTAGGACTAGGGATAGGGGATTGACTGCAGAGGAGCTCCAGAACTTTGGGGGGTGATATAAATGTTCTATATCAATTATTTAGAGAGGTTTACAAAACTATATACATTTGCAAGTGTGTATATTCCAAATCATTGACCTGTACACTTAAAGTAAGTGAAATTCTATTGTATGCATCTGTACCTACATTTAAAAAAATAGGAAGATACTGGTATCTAAGACTGAAAGTGAGACAGTAAAAGAAATTCTATTTTCTGTTGTATGGTTAGTTCTTCTCATTACAGATCTCTAGTGAAAATTCCCCATCCCATCTTCCAGTTGGTGGACGGTCATAAGTACATACCATGGCGTTTTCCACTGAGCCATAGTGGGAGTCAGTATTGGCCCAAAATTGACTCTTCAGGAAAAGTGACGAGAACCAGGGAACTTTCTCATCAATGATATCAACTTTTTTTTAAGTTCTCGATTGCTCATTTCTCACACTTTTTTGCATAAACTTGTTACTAGCCAGTGGGGGTGAGGGTCGTTTTGTTGTATGGGGCTGCGCAGGGTCTAAATACCTACAGCCCTTTGAGACAGTGGAGTAACTGAAAACATACTTTATCAGATGCATCAGGGCTGCGGCAGAAGGTATAACCTGCTGGGCAGATAATGCAGTTCTGGGTTAGAAGTGCAGGATTTGGATCTGAAAACCTGTCCTCAAGTTTTATCTCTGCCTCTGACCAGCTTTGCAGCGTTGACTGTGTAACCCAACCCTCCGAGTCTGGGTTTCTTCCTCCGAGCAATGGGGTGGTTGGACTAGATTCCCTCTCTCTGTAGTTGCTTTCAGCTCTGCAGTACCTTGTCAGGACTTGTCACTGACAGCCTTCTGATGTATTTGACACCGCTCCAGAAAAAAACATGTTTATATGGCTCAACTGTGTTGTGTTACAGGTTCAGCTTGTTGGTTTAGATGAAGAGAGTTCGGAGTTTATTTGCCGAAACACCTTTGACCATCCCTACCCCACCACAAAGCTCATGTGGATCCCTGACACAAAAGGTGTCTATCCAGACCTACTGGCGACAAGTGGCGACTATCTCCGAGTGTGGAGGGTAAGCAGGTGCTCGCGTGTCGGCTGCTGTTAGCAGTATGGAGTCATGGAGACCAGACTGGGGCTGGAGGCAGTGAGTGCCATGGCAGCCCGGGAGGAACAGATGCTTACGGGTCTGAAATGACCTGGTTTGGCTCAGCAGATTTCCTAGTAAACCTAGCCAAGATTCCTGGAAGTCGGCTGCTGGCTGCAGCCGGCCCTGGAAACCCAAGGCTCCGTTAACCTGATACAACCTTTGTGGGGGTGGTGATACTTGAGGCCTCTTATTCTGTTTATAGCCAAGATACTTTTGAGTAAATTAAACAAACTACCAGGCCACTGACTGTAGTGAAGTGTGTGTGGATTATGGAGCTTCACCTCCCCCCTCAGCTGAGCTTACGTTTAGCTTATCAGCAGTGGCATCTCCTAGCCTAGGGGTGTAGTCCCCAGCCAGGCAAGGTACCAAGATTCATTCTGGGTAGGGCAAGGTGAGAAGAACTCTCTAGAAAAATTTGGAAAACAGCTAGGCAGAGAAGAAAGCTTGGAAAGAAGTAGTACTCAGGGAGTTCCTCTGGGTTTTATTACTCTTTATGATAAAAATGCTCTGCTCCCTGCCACTCCCATGTCTTATATTTACTAAGATGGCATCTAAATGGGGCTTTGAAGATTTTTGGTGACGATGAGACTGGTTGATTTTGTGTGCGTGTGTTTGTTTTTGTTTTAGGTTGGGGAGACTGAGACCAGGCTGGAATGTTTGCTAAACAATAATAAGAACTCAGATTTCTGTGCTCCTTTGACCTCCTTCGACTGGAATGAGGTGGATCCTTACCTATTAGGTAAGGGAGTGAGGGAGGCTAATTCCAGTTTGAAGAAACAAAGATAACATTTTCTCAGCTATGACACTGGGCCAATTCATAACTGGGGCCCGAGGTCCATGCATCATCCTAGAATGGGGCCAAAGAGACTAGATGTGGGATGTGGTTATTAATTCCTTGCATGGAATCGAGCTTCCTGTGTATGTATGGTTTGTCTCCAGTGAGAGTCTAAGGTCCTAGGGTAAGGACTGAACACTTGACTATTTTGGGCTCTCCTGGTACCCTCCCTGCTCTAGGAAGTGTTTGTGGCCTGTGGTCTCCTGTGCTGAACAGGTGAGTAGGCACAGGGAGAGAAGGCTGCCTGGGAACCTCACTCCCCTCGGCCACTGACACACGCTCTGGTTGTTTCCAGGTACCTCCAGCATTGATACGACTTGTACCATCTGGGGGCTGGAGACAGGGCAGGTGTTGGGGCGAGTGAATCTTGTGTCTGGCCACGTGAAGACCCAACTGATCGCCCATGATAAAGAGGTAATGATGCTGTCCCCCTTCGGCTCTCTGTGCCTTCACTGTTGTCGGGCTGTCCTCTCACTGTTTGGCAAATGCTGCAGAAATCGATGCTAACATCATGTCTAAAGTGAAAATACTAATGTGTCAAAACAGTGGAAAACAGCACTGTTGTAAAGGGGTGCGTTTTTTGACTGATAGAAACAACTTGTTGTACAATCTGTTATTTTTCTTTTCATGCCAGAGATTGCTGTTTTTTAATAATGAACTCTCTTGTAGAGAAGTTCATTTAATCACATCATGAACCTGATGTGATTAAAAATTAATCTCAGAATAACACTTATCTTGAAATATATTTGCTTTCTGGGAAAGGGGTAGAGAGAGGGAGGCAGGAAGAGGGAAATTTCCTGGAAGTTAAACCTAATTCATCAGTTTTTCTTAACTTATTTTATGAAATTCTAGTGTGTTCACTTAATACTTAAAACTGTTTGGAATTGAATATGGTTTATCTTGATGATGATGTTTCTCCTGTGTGTATTATAAACTGCAGGAAGCTCTTCATGATTGGGTTTTAATTAGAGCATTCTTATGAGTGATTTTTGGAAAATGGACATAAATCTTTTCCTCCCAGAGCTGCTGCACGTCCCTAGAATTCTGATCTCCTGTGGGCAGAGTTTCCTTTCCTCTTCTACTTTACCCTGCACAGCGAGGAATATTGTTATATGTTCAGGTGAAGAGGATGCCTTGACCTTAGGTCAGAAGCTTGAGGCCATTTACAGAATGGGAAGTTGGTGACCAGGTTATCCTTCTTAGTAAGGGGTTGTTCTTTGGCTTTCTGTGCTCCTAAGGGTAAGATCTGTTACAAGACTGCTGGACTGGGCTGCTGCTGAACCAAGGGGCAAAGGAAGAGTTTGTCCTGCAGAGAGGACCAGTAAGGAACTTCTGGAAACCCTCTTGACATCCAGTGGAACAGGTCGCTACATTTTAGTTATGTGACAATTTAGTTTGCTGTTCTCTGTCAGGATCCAGTCCAGAAAACCAGAACTACTCTAAGTGTGTAAACATGGGATTTAATACAGGACATTGCTTACACAGGTGATGGTAAAGCCAAGCGGCCACACTGGCAACAGTGAGGTAATCTAGAGAACAGGAGCAGCAGGAAGTGGCGCTGCCTCTGGGCCAGAAGGGCCCAGCGGCTGAGTTTACCTGGCAGAAGCTGGAACCACGGAGGGGACGTGGCTGTTGCCAGAGACGCTTCAGGGGACAGAAGGAATGGAGAAGAAATACATTTGTGTCTTCCTACCAGAGGAAATGGCCAGGGCCAGCAAATAGGCCCTAGACTGACACCCTGGCCTGGAAGAAGTGAACCCGAGGACAGTTGCTCTGAGAGAGACAGTGATATCTCCCAGCACCTTTGGTTTTTCTCAGCCTGCCTTTCTCTCTCGAAGTACAGACTTGTTTGGGGCTCTCGTTGTGCATGGGAGACTGGTGTAGAGGAGGGTAGCATGCACGTGGGGTTGTTATCTTCCCTTGGATTCTCGTGAACCACACTGGTAGAACTGCAATGAAGCAGGCAGATAAAGCTGAGAGAGCTTTATACACCCGGCCACATTGCCCGTGGTACCTTGTCGCTCAGTGATGCTGCTGTGGTGTCCCTGTTCTTGGGAGTTACTGAGAGCCGGCCCCAGGGTGTGTGCACACACTGATAAACACACGCCTGCCCTCACTCAGCTGGGCAGTGCTGGACAGAGCCTGGAGCTGCTGGGCCTCCCTGTGGTGAGCTGGCCAGTTCCCTTTGGAATCATTCCTCATTCCTACCATAGAAAGAGAGGCGTAATTTCTTCATAGAGAAAAAGGGAGGTTGTATAGAAACAGGTGCTCATTTGGCAGTGTCCCTTAGTGGGCAGAACCTTAAGAAGGCTGGAGTCACGGCATTTAGTGAGAAATTCAGTTTTTGGAGGAAAACTGAAATTCCAGAAATTGGGTGTTACTAACCTTGACCCCAGAAGATGGGTTTTGTTTTTCTTTCATTTGTTTTTCTTTTTCAGTTTCTCTCTGTCTCTCTGCTTGTCTGGCTCTGGCTTTGTCTGTCTGTCTCTGTCCTTTCTCTAAAGCTCTCGGTTGCCCTCTGCCTCTATTTTCTCATAGACAGCAGTAGCGATCAGTGTTTGCAGCAAGTAATAAATACAGAAAACAATGATTCAAAACAAGTCGATTCACTTATGAATGCAGACCAACTAGGAGAAGAAAGAGCATGTCTTAGGACAAGAGAGTGATGTTAAACCTCTTCGTGAATACAAGAACGCCTCCCATTATTTAAAACTGCTGTTACTTCTTGCAAATGAGTCTCAGGTCCAGGTTTCACAGCAGAACCAGCTTGGCTGTTAAGTGGCCACAGGAGGGCTGCTGCCACCTCTCTAATTGACGATCTTGGCCTTAGTGTGGTCACGGATCTGCCTCTTAGTGCACACAGATGAAAGCCACCAAGGCCTAGGAAATAAATGTCTCAATCTTGAGTTGTGGTAGAAGACAGCCCCTGGCTCTGGCTTCCGCTGAGCCTAAGCATGCAGAACACTTGCTCAGTGTACTTCTGTATTGTTGGTCAGTAGGATATATACTCTTTGTTCTGTCGCATGGGTTGGAGGCAGAAGACTTGGAAAGCGCATGTGGGAAGAAGCCAGCCAGTTTCCATAGCAGAATGATCTTCGCTTTTTGGGAAGTCACTGATGTTAGAGTTTTTGAGTTCCAGACTGGTAGACACTATCTGGCTTTATTTAATTCCTCCTGTGTTGTGAACAGGGGTATAGATGGACTAGGGATAACAGATTTCCCTGGTATGGGAAAAGGAGGTAATGGTTTGGGATCTGACTGAACTGTCTTATTCACCAACAGGTCTATGATATCGCATTTAGCCGGGCTGGGGGTGGCAGGGACATGTTTGCCTCTGTGGGTGCTGATGGCTCGGTGCGGATGTTTGACCTCCGCCATCTAGAACATAGCACCATCATTTATGAAGACCCACAGCATCACCCACTGCTTCGCCTTTGCTGGAACAAGCAGGACCCTAACTACCTGGCCACCATGGCCATGGATGGAATGGAGGTGAGCACCCCGCTTCAGGATAGCATAGGCCCTGCCACCTAATTCAGGTTCTACTTCATATATCAAGAACAGTGGTTCTCAGCTGGTAGCAGTTTTCTTCTGGTGGATTTTTTTAAATGTCTGGAGACAGTATTGATTGTCCCATATCAGAAGGAGTGGGGCGGTGCTATTGGCATCTGGCGGGCAGAGGCCAGGGATGCTGCTAAACCTCCTGCAGTGCACAGGACAGGGCCCCACAACAAAGTATTATCCAACCCCAAACGTCGGGAATGCTGAGACTGAAAAAACCTGGTCTAGAACAAGTACAATGTGTTAAGAACTTTTAATACTCGAAGAGTTGAAGTTGGTGTCAAGAAAAGCAACATGTGAAAAGTAAACCAAATCATATGTGTTCACAGTGTTGAGTAAAACAGTCCGTTTCCCCCTTCTGTAGTCAGGACAGATTCTTCTAGCTTTAGCAAACAAACATGGAAACAGCAGCTCTACCCTGTTACTTGGTAAAAGCAGTAAGTTGTGGGTAGAGATGATGCAGTGATTAACTTTCTTTTGTGGAGCAGGTCCCTCAGACTCCTTACATTCCAGATTCTGCTTTGGGGGCAGAGAAGGCTGAGCATGCACGGAAACTCAGCATGCGCACCTAAGGGGACTTGGTGCAGTATCCAAGTTCAAGTTACCTGCTGCTGGATCCTCCCTTCCTTATCAGTCCGAAGACCTGTATTGCTTTAGATACAGACTGTCAACTACCTGTGTCTTCTTTGTTTTCTTTTTCCTCAATCCAGTGGCTACTTTCGAGACAGAGACCCTATGTATCTAATAATCTTTAAATCCACACATGAAGAAGGTTTGCTTCAAAAAAATGTTTTTCACCCTGGCTGGTGTGACTCAGTAGATTGAGTGCCAGCCTGCAAACCAAAGGGTGACTAGTTCAATTCCCAGTAAGGGCACATGCCTGGGTTGCAGGCCAGGTCTCCTGTAGGGGGCGCACTAGAGGCAACCACACATTGATGTTTCTCTGCCTCTCTCCCTCCCTTCCCCTCTGTCTGAAAATTAAATAAATAAATATTTTTTTCTTGTGTAGTGTCTTTGTTTGTTTTTTCTGTCACACTCTGAAGTTCCTGGGCCTTTTACTTGTTATTTCTGCAGGTAGTGATTCTTGATGTCCGAGTTCCATGCACACCTGTCGCAAGATTAAACAACCACCGAGCATGTGTCAATGGTATTGCGTGGGCCCCACATTCATCCTGCCACATCTGCACTGCAGGTAATCATGGCGGGGGAGGGGCCACCTGGGGAGGGAGAGGTGAGAAGATCTTTCTCTTCTTAGAATTGTAATCTTACTATTTTTCCAAGGATAGTTTGAAAGATTTGCACAAAGTAACTCAATTAAGAGCTTCCCCACACTTGTGAAACTGAAGCAGTCCGATTTTCCAAATGCTCTTGTATTCCCAGTGAGATCAGAGCATCTTCCATTTACTATTTACATCGTGTATCAGTTATAGGCTTGTGTCTCCTACTGTTCCCCACTGCCCTCCCGAAATCTAGATTGACACAGAGGACTCAGATCCAGGAATGTGGGCAGTCTGCCTTAGACACAACAGAGTTGTGGGACTGCCGTGACAGGTATCTCCCTTGGGAGATGTAAGGAACCTAGAGGGAGCTCTGGATGCATTGAAGGGCTCTGCGTGGCCTGGCTTGGTCAGTGGTGTGTGACTTGTAGTTTTCATTTCCCCGTTTGCCAGACCAAAAAGAGAACTTCTTAGAAATAGGCTAGTTATCAGTGTGCTTTTATTTTAGAAATAATATAATTCTCTTATTAAAAATTAAAACAGTACAGAGGCATATAAGATAGGAAAGGGAAAATCTTTTCTATTTCCTATCCCATTTCCACCTCAGTTGTACTCTTCATAGGTGACCTCTAACAACAGTTTGTGTGTCTCCTTCCAGTCCTTTCGGTGTGGATATATGCAGATGCATAGTCTCCCACCCCCCTTTGTTATACACAGATGGGATTTCACTCTAGCCCCATAGCGTTTTGCTCCTTATCTTTGTCAGTGTCTAGGGTTTCCTTCTAACATATGAGTATTCCTCTCGCTAATCAGTACTGTCCTCATTTCCTTGTTCATTGTGGAGCCAAAGGAGCAGTGTAGTAGCTAGGTGGTTTTCTGCCATTTTAGCATTAATTTGAAAGGTTTATGAAGCTTTTGCTGTGTTGGGCCTTTGCTTGTGTTTGTGCGTCTCATGGAGGGGCAGTTAGGGCCCTGCCACCTTCCTCTGTACCTTACTCAGCTTGTGGTCTGATTTCTTCATTACCGCCCTGTTTTTTCCCCCAGGGGTGTGGATAGAAAGGGGTGGGTGAAGGGAAAAATAAAGGTGTGTAGTCCATTGTTCATGGGGAACAGGGATGTTACCCCCAACAGAAGTCCATCATCTGCTCCTGCGGCTGCCTTTTTTTTTTTTTTTTAGAGAGAGAGAGAGGTGAAGGGAGGGAGAAAAGAGGGAGAGAATCATCAATTTGTCATTGCCTCTTGCGTGCCCTCTACCGGGGACTTGGCCTGCAACCCAGGCGTGCGCTCTGACTGGGAAACAAACCAGCTCCCCTGTGGTTTGCAGGCTGACACTCAGTCCCCTGAGCCATACCCCCCAGGGCATTTTACTGCTGCCTTTGTCTGGCTGCTGCTGTTGTGTGGGTTGCACCTGTCTCTTGAGTCCCTTCAGTGGAAGGAGGTGCTACTGAAGAGTGTGCTTAGTTGAGCATCGAGGAAAAGGAACTTAGTGCTTTAGAGGTGCTGAGTGTTTAAAACAATTCCCCAGATCTCTTGATAGATTGTCACCAGAAGGGCATCTCACACCTTGCCTGGGCTAGTTACACAGCTGTGGCAGGAGGCCTGTTAGGATTTAGTTTTTTCAGGTCCCCTGTGTATCAGAGACAGGCTTTCCCAACAGGCTGGGCCGATGGGGTTATGAGACACTGTGATAGCGAAGATCCTTGCTTTTCTTTTTCTTCTCTTAGATTGAGAACTCACTATTTTGATTATAAAAGTAACATGATCACATTGCAGGTCACTTTAGAACTAGAAAAAGTAAACCTAACTGACAGCCTTGCCATCCTAATAGTATCACTGTTCTCGTTGTGATATTATTTCCTTCTAGTCGCCTTTTGTGTGCTTTTATATTTGTTTAAGGTAACCACCTTCTTCCTGGGTTCTTTTATTGGGGAAATTGTCTTTGTTTTCATTTTCTTTATTTTTATTTTTTACTTTTTAAAATAAATTTTATTTAGCCCTGGCTGGTGTAGCTCAGTGGATTGAGCCCGGGCCTGGGATCCAAACAACCGCAGTTCGATTCCCAGTCAGGGCACATGCCTGGATTACAGGCCAGTTCCCAGTGGGGGATGCAGGAGAAGCAACCATACATTGATATTTCTCTCCCTCTCTCCTTTCCTGCCCTTCTAAAGATAAATAAATAAAATATTTAAAAAATAAAATAAAATAGATTTTATTTACTTATTTGAGAGGGAGGGAGGGAGGGAGGAAAAGAAGATGAGAACCATCGATGTGTGAGAGAAACATTCATCATTTGGCTCCCCTTTGCATCTTGACCAGGGACTGAACCTGCAATTTGACCATGTGCCCCAACCTGGAATCCTTCACTTTGCCAGAGGGCCCCTAACCAAGCCACACAGTCAGGGTTGTTATTTATTTATCAATAAGTTTACATCCTTGAGGGGCACAGCATTGCATGGATTCTGGGCCCAGTGGTCTTGGCAGGAAGGTTGCTGCGGAATTCAGCACGGGCCATGCCACTGTTTGCATGAGCACGAGTTCCCTTTCCCCAGAATGTCTGGTTTTGTTCGGTTTACCACCAGGAGTCACTGTGTTCTTTGCTTTGTACACATAAGCACATCTCTTGCCTAGAGAGAATTCAGTTTCACCTTAAGCACCAACACCTTCAATTTCAGGAAGAGCTGTGTGCTCCCTCTGGTTTCGGAGACCCCGTTTATAGCCAGCAAAAATGGCCTTGGACCACAGCTTTCTAGACATGTTTGTTGTAGAAGTCTGGTTCCTGGCAGGCTCCACAGGCTCCCAGATGGTTGGTGAAGAAGCGGGAAATTGTTTTTAATAGCACATGTCCACACAATACTTCATCTCATCTGTTTAACACCTCATTTAACTGTAAATGTCCATAAAATAGGGGAGAAGTTCCGTTAAATTGAATCATCAGAGAAGGATCTTTAATCACTCAAGTACCGTGAGTGGCTGAAAACGACATGTTTTGGAATCACTTTTATCTCATCCCATCCTCCTTTCCTGGTGCCCGCTCAGCTAAGATGAGCGGTGCCCACCAACTCCCATTCTGGCTTCCCAGCTCCGAGGCAGTGAGTACAGCCCTGGAACAGTCAGAGGCTCACTTTGAGTCTGCTCTGCCACTCACTGGCTGCAGAGCTCTGTGGTTTGGGGAAAGCCCCTTAACAGTTCTGAACCTCAGTTTCCTCATCTGCAGAGTGGGCTTAAAATAAAATCTTCCTCACTGGGGTTTTGGTGAACAGATGTTTTGTTACCTCTGACTACCACCACTACCAAATGCAGGGGTGGTTATCTTCTTTGCCTGAGGTGTGACCTGGCTTTCTGTGTCTCTAGCGGATGACCATCAGGCTCTCATCTGGGACATCCAGCAAATGCCCCGGGCCATCGAGGACCCTATCCTGGCCTACACAGCCGAGGGAGAGATCAACAACGTGCAGTGGGCATCAACTCAGCCCGACTGGATTGCCATCTGCTACAACAACTGCCTGGAGATACTCAGAGTGTAGTGTGGAGGCGCCACGCCCATGAGTCAGGGGCTTATGTATTTCCTGCCTCTGCCCCACCCCAAAGTAAGAAGAAACATGTTTCCAGTGGCCAGTGTGTCTTTCATTGCTTTGCACCTGCTATTGCCAGAAACTGCTCTAGGTGTTCCTGGCCAGTCACCCCATCACTCGGCGCCACACTCGGCGCTGCGGGATGCCTCCTCAGCCCAGGGCTGAGTTTTAAGATTTTTCTCTCCTTTTCTCTTCTCCTTTGGTTCCTCAATTAAAAACTTCTGTATATTTGTTTGTCAGCCATTGTGTTAATGAGCATTACCGGCACTGGGTGTGTTTGTATTCACCTGCCCCAGATGTCTGTCTGTCTGTTGCCCAAGGCAGCGCTCTGTGTCCATGTCCGTGTTAGCACTTAAGTGGGAACAAATAACCAATTTGAAGTTGTCTTTCCTCTTCTTATCTATGTCTGTAACAAATTTCAACTTTGTATATTTTTTATCTATCAGGCTAATTTTTTTATGAAAAGAATTTTACTCTGGCTTCTTCCTTTGTTTCGTGGTCCTCCCCATTAGCACCTTCCTCTTTTCCCTCCGTGTCTGGACCTGGCACTGGGCCCTTGCCCCTGTGAGCAGTTTGCCTTCTTGAATCACTGCCTGAGCAGTACGGACCTGTCTGGGAGTCCCACACCGCCCTGGTGCTCTGAAGTCGGCCAGCTCTCACACCTTTTCTCAGCCTGGCTCTTCTCAAGGGCATTCTGGGCTCCAAAACAGATGTGTGAAGCCTGCCGTTACTGCCTGCAGTACCTCTGTCCACCGCCCCAGGAGCCTCCTGAGAGTGTGCCTCAGCCAAGGTGGGCTGGTTGGGTACTTGAGGAAAAGGGGTTCAGGAAAGCTGAGCCTAGAGCACGTTTCCAGTACATAGTTTCCGAGTCTGTTTTTCCTTCCAGATAAAAGCCCCAGGCATTCTCTTTCGTATGTTGAACGATAGGCAAGAATAATGCATAAGCTGAACTTCAGTATGTCTGTTTAGTTTACTGAGACTGGTGGTCTGTCAGCCACTCTTTGGATTGAGTGCCCTGAGGTGAGACTCCAGTTTGAGGGACACACCTCTGTGTGTCTTAATCTGAAAAAGTCTCCTTCGGAGTGTGGGGAGATGTCACCTCCTTGTAAGGGAGGGATCGATAGGCCATCATGATTTCAGGCCATCATATAAATAGATAGTTACAAAAAGAACCAGAGACCCCGGGGTCAGCCAGTTAACAGCTCTGCGCACCCCTGTCAACTGTCCTGCCTCCAGGGTAGGTTCGGAGCGGTACTGGAGTTGGAGGCCGCAGGTGTCTGTTTCTGTTACGTGAGTAAGTTCCTCCGAGGGGGCTTGTGTGTGGCTCTGATTGTGGGCTGAGTTTGGGACACACTCAGAGTCTGGGCAGGAGTCTGCCTGGTTTGTCGTGCTCTGCCAAGTGGCGCAAGGTGTCTGAGACCCTGGGAGGGTAGCAGGCTTTCGGTCTGATGGTTTTGTCCATGGCGGCTCTGTCCTGCTCTGCCGTTCCGAGCCCTATGAGAGCTTTTCTGTTGTCTTCCTTTTCAGAAGCAGATGTATTTGTATCCTCAAAGTCATGGGTTGGTACTTTACTACCCAGGGGCTTGTCCCAAAGTAAAAAGCTCTTTTTTATTTCCCTTTCGACCGTTTTACTTTACTTTTTTATGCTAGTTTGGGGGCTCTTTGGCTGGTCACCTGCTTGAGGTTTGCTCCCCTGCTCTTACCACCAGACTCCCAGCATGTCGTGTGGAGATGCAGCGTGAGTGGGTCTTGGTCAGAGCCCTCCTCTGCTTATAGTTGTGTCGGACGGTTCCGGGGTCCTTCTCCCAAGGGTAGCCTGCTCCAGGAGGCCTTCGGTTCCCTCCCGTGGAAAAGGGTCTGAAATGGAGGTTAGGGTGATAGAGGGACCTGGTCCTGCTTCGCAGGGCTTAAGTATACTGAGTTCTGATTTAAGATTCCTTTCCGAGTCCGCATTTAAACGTGGTCTGAATGGTGAGAAGATTTGTCAATTAGAACTCGAAAACAACCTGGAGAAAAAAATTAGTTAATAGAAATTAGAATATACTTGGTTAACGTTGCTATTTATTCACCTACAATTTTGTTTTCCCCTTCCCTGTGGACTCCCAGCCCATCACCGTCCTTGGGCCCTGCAGTGCAGTCTGCCTCACCCCCATCTCCCTGAGCTGGCACGCACTCGCAGATGTCGGGACACTGGTATTTATTTGGAAGTCCCAGTTCCTACCTTCTTGTTCTGCCACAGGCCCAACGGCCTCATGTTTGAGGAGGGGATTTCTGTAGTCTTGAGATTTAGAAAGCCTCTCAGCCAGCCATGTTCCATGATGCACAGATCTGTTGTAGTTTCTAAAGCAAGGGTCTATTTAATTTGTTTAGATTCTCAAATTGACAGCCAGAGAGCATGGGTAGGAGGGTCTGCATCTGTTCTCCTGGAGTATGAGCAGAGCAGCTGCCAGGTTGCCTCCGGGCGGGCTATGGCGGCACCTCTGTGCTCTAGCTCTGATGGCCTTTTGGCTTGTTCTTGGCCCCTGAGCTGAAGCTACCCTCTGGTTTTTCTTGTCTGCCCTGAGGGGAAGTGGGGGAAGGTTCGGAATAAATTTGGCCTCAGGTTCCATATCAGAGAGCTGGTGAATGGGTACAGTCCTTCTAGAGCTTGAGCGTTTACTCTCAGGAGAGTTGGAACCCTCTCCTTCCAGGGAGAAATCTGGCTGCGAGGAGAGGACTTGAAGAGGGAAGATATTTATAACTAGGTGAGAATTTCTTATCAGAAGCAGATCGGCTCTCAGAGAACTGGTCAGGTTTGGGGAAGAAACAAAAAATTGAGATTTCTACAAGGTTTTGACGGTAGTTGTGGCTTTAGGAGATTTAGGATGTGGGAGAAAATCAATGGTAAGTGTTGCTTTAGATCAAAGGAGAAAATAGAGGGCAGTAATGGCCTGAGGTGGGGAAGTATTCAGACTCTGCTGTGTGGCCTGGGTGTCAGGGACCATTCATCTCTGATGCTGGGTAAGTGTGGGGACAGGGTGACAGCTCAGGGCAGGGGAGCCCCTCTCTGCAGTGATGTAGCTATGCATGATGTTTGGTGATGGAAATCTTCAGGTCTCTGGAGTCTAGTGATTGTCCCAGACCGTGGCTCTTCTTGGCTGTAGGTTCATAGAGCCGAAGAAGCAGAGGTTGTAGAGTCATTCGACTTTGCTCCACCTTTCCCCTTTCTCTTCCTCGTCTCTTCCGTCTTCCTTTCTACTGTAGAACTTTCTCCCTGCTGCGCCCTAGGCCTTGAATTCCTAGGCTATAAGAATAGGTAGGGGCTGTAAGGTTTTCTAAACATAGGAGGACCAGCCCAAGACCATGTGTCCCCCTTCCCTGGTTTGAGAACGTGGCAGTTCCTTCATCTGCTTGGCTTGGGGAAAGGGAAGCTGATGAAGTAGAAGTCTCAAAGCAGACTCTCCCCTTTACTCTGCACTCCAGGATGAGGAAGGAGGGCCATGCTTGGCACTTCGTTGGTTTTTTTACCTGGGAGGAAAGCTGAACTGAACAGTCACTGCGAACTTGGGGCCAGGCTCTCTAAGGATCGTCTTTTCTGTACTGGCTGAACCAGCTCCTGAGAAAGTCTCATGTTGCAGAGCCTTGCCCAACTCCCACACCTGCACCCTCTTCTCCCACAGTGGGCATTGCTGCTAATGGTCAAAGGCAAATACATGGGCCAGGTCCTCCCAGGCTACTTTCTGCATATTATGTTTTAAATATAGGACATGCAGGTGCCTTTCCAAAGAGGCTTGGGCTGGTTTATTAAACCAGAAACAAACAAGCTAACGAAAGTATGAACTCAAGAAGAAAGATGTTGGCAGTCTGTGTAACAGCTGGAAAACTTGTAAGTGCCCACCTTTGGGACAAGCGAGTGAATATGAACTTGTGGTATCTGCTATTTAAAAGAAGCGTTCTCACCTTGGGTTGATTGTGGTGTACAGTGTGTTATGACTTGTTGAGCTAAAGCTTTGACTTGCTTCTTGAGTCAAGTATGAATCATTTGCTTTGGTTCCTGTGTATTTTATGAACCCCTCTGTCAGTGACTTTCCATCCCTCCTCCCCTAGTGTGAATTTGTAGCATGATTGTACAAACCTCTATGTAGAAAATGGAGAGTTCTTGTTCTCTGAAATGTTAAGCTTTAGCCAATCAATTTCTGTCCCCTTTAGCCTAGTGTGTCTGAACTTACTTTCTTGTTATATATTTAAACTTTTCCTCTACACCATAGGTTTTGTAGCATCCTTTGGTCAGGTGACAAGGAAGCTGCCCCTTGCAGAACTGTACTGTAATCATTTTTTTTAAGATATTATTTTCACAGGACTGATTGTACACAGGGCTTTTAATAAAATTTTAACACTGTGCTGTGAAACCACAATGGTAAATCCCCATTGAAGGCTATTTCAAAGGCACCTGAAAGTGGAGTGTTATGTCTATGACTTTATTTCTTGCTTAATTAGGTATATTAAACCTAATTTTTACCTTTTCATTCTGTTTCAGCCTCCTGTATAAGACCATATTTTCTGTCCATCATACTTTGTAATAAAACTTGAACATGTATAGGTTGACTGAATTTCTTCTTGTGATGAATTCAGTTTTTCCCATTCTGCCACTGTGGTCATGTTTCAGAGACACTGGCTGGGGGATCCGACTCCACCCCAGCTCATCACTGTCTGACAGCCTGACTTACCACCTTTATCAAAACACACAGCACCTACTCCATGTCAGGGGCCGTGACCCTCAAGTTGTTCACAGCCTACCAGGAGACACCCACAGACACAAATACTGTCAGTGTCGTGCAGTAACAGGTGTGTGCAGGCTTACTGGTGGTCCTGAGGAGTTGGTGATCACCTGCGACCAGGTGGGAGCCAGGGAGGATCAGGGTAAACTTCACAAGACAGATACTTGAACTAGGTTTTGAAGGCTAAGTAGGTGTTCTCTGGGAATTGGGAAAGGTGTCTACGGCAGAGAAAATATCCAAGTACCAGTCTATAAATACAAGAAAGAGCGTGGTCATATTCAGAGAAGTACAAGTCCATGTGGGGTTTTTCTGTGGGGACTGGCAGGAAATGTGGCTAGAGAGGTAGGCAGAGCCAGATCAGAATCTTTTGTACTTTGCAGAAAGATTAGACCTTACTCTTGTATGAGACTGGAAGTATTACATAGAGGGAAGTCATGCTCAGAATTGCTATGAATCATTGAAGAAAATACTATGAAGAAAGTACCTTTGAGTGGGGGTGAGGGGGTGGAGACAGGCAATCAGTTCACCTATTAGAACAGTCAAAGTGAGAAAAAATAAAAGTCTGAACTAAGGAGCAGTGGGAAAGGAGAATAGGTCACAGCTGACAAGACTGAAGAGACAGGATAATCAGGATTCAGTAACCTTATGAAAGGATACAAAGAAATGCTAACTCCCAAATCCCATGGATTTGGACACCAGGCTCTAATGTGACGATTAGAGTTTCCACGTCCAAGCCAGTTTCCCCAAAGTGGTAGGATGGAAAAGGAGTTCTGTCCCCACTGCTGTCCAAATTTTGTTAGTCCAGGATGAATACTCCCCATCGCCCATTTATTTTTACTGTTGGGCCATTTTAAGGGAAGAAAGAAAAGTGAATTAGGATGGTCCGTGAGCCAGAATTTAGGAGTGTCTGCCATTCTGTTAGAAGAATGGAGTCAGGGGTGGCAGGGGGTCTGTGAGGGAGAAAGTATGTGCAGTGGGAGTTTCAGTTTCATGTGGCAAGAGGAGCATCTGCTGGCTCTATTAGAACCGTGCTGTGTGGTCTGACTGTGTACTTTTTTGGGAAATGCATGATTTTTGCTCTTTGTTTTTTTTTTAAGGGGAAAGTTGAGAGAGTAATACTGATTGTATTAATCTCAATAGACTGGGCTATGCTGCAGGGGAAAAAAACCCTCAGACTGAACACAACAAAAGTTTGGGGTTTTGCTTACATCAGCAATTTTCATCCGATGTGCTGTGAGAATTTTTAAATGCAATATGACTGTTTAATCAGGGGCACCGACCTCTTTTCCCTTAGATTGGCAAATAAAGTCAACAGCCAACACAACAATAGGTGTCCAGCGTGAATGAATCAGAATTATACCTAATTTTATTTGTCAGATCAGCAAAAAATGTATTTTTTGGTGAGCTGCAGAATTTTAGTAGTTGATGTGTGCCATGAAAGGAAGGAGATTAAAAATCTCTGGCTTACATGAAGTCCTTTGGAAGTTGCGCGTCCTCCCTGTGTAGGAAGCCATGTCATCCAAAACTTGTGGCTTCCATGGTCACATTGGAGGTGTGGGGGATGTTTTTCAGGATAGTCTTGGAAGTGTTTACTCGCTTTGCCCATATCTGTCAAATTTAGTCATGGGATTCCAGCATAACTGCAAGAAGGTCAAGAACGTAGTCTTCCCATGTGCCTAGGAAGAGGAAATAAAGTGGTGAATCAATAGCAATGCCTCTGCTATACCATCAAATTAGCAAACTGTCCGGACTAATAACTGGTGTCATCTTATTTATTTAGAGCTACCAGTATGGACAATGTACATTCATATCTAACAGAACGATGCCCTCAGCCTGTCTTTCACATCCAAGGCTCATTATTAATTTACGACTTCAGTGATCCCAGCAACCAGACCTCTACAGATTGTTCAGTCACCTCTGAATTTATCTTGAGACTGTAAATATTTGTTCAGACTGAGAAAGTGAAAAAAAACAACAAAAAAAACTTCCCTGCCATTCATCACAGATAGACAGACACAGAGAAAAATGGCTGCAAAGTTAATAGGAATCAATATTTCTGCTAAGCACAGTCTGCAACTTAAAGTGTCACAACAATTCCCTTCTCTGAGAGACCACTTTTTAAAGTCACTGAGAGACTTTGTTTTCTGAAATCATAAACTGTTAGAGAATTCGCTGTTTGAAATTCTGTCAGCAGGAATGAAGCCTTACAGTCTTGCTGAAAAGAACCTGCGTCATTTTGACAGGGAATCAGCCTTGATTTCCAGTCCAGGTGTGCAGCTTCAGAGCAGGGGTTTCTGAACACAACATTCTACATCTAACTCTGTAGTTTCTAAGGAAACTGAGCCCTGGGTCCACTTTGCAGACTAGAGCTGTTGTTGGTCCTCTTTTCCTGTAGCTCTGTGTTCCTTTGAACTTGTCAAGCTTTATTTCATTCAAATTTTGCTCAACCTCCACCCTTCTCCATTATTCTATAATTACTATTTTTTCCTTTGGCGAGACACCCTACCTCCCTCTGGTGTGGTTACCCTTATTATAGTGAAATAAGCCTGACTTTGTTGGACTATAGGTTTGCCCTGATGGACTTAGGCTGATTGGGCCAGGGCAATTGCTTTGCTTTGGCCTCCATACTTATTTGTGATTATACATCCCTTTAATTAGAAATCTCCTCAAAGTGCCATATTAAACTATATATTTTCCTGTTTTATTGAAATATAATGTACACATTGTATTAGTTTAAGGTATATGATATATTTTTAAATTACAAAAAGTAATACTATATATGAATAGCTAGTAAGCACATACAAAGATGCTCAACATCATTAATCACTGGAGAAATACAAATCAAAACCACAGTGAGATACCATTTTATGCCCACTAGGATGGCAACAACTATAATCAAAAAGTGTTGGCAAGGATGTAGGGAAAGTGGAAATCTCATACATTGCTGATGGGAATGTAAAATGCTGCAGCCATTTTAGGTAACAGTCTGTTAGTTCCTTAAAAGGTTAAATGTAGAGTTACCATATGACCCATCAACTCTATTTCTAGGTATATACCCAAGAAAAATGGAAACACGCCCATACAAAAACTTGTGCATGAATGGTCATAACAGCATTATTTATGATGATAGTCAAAAGGTGGAAACCACCCAAGTGTCCATCAACTGATAAGTAGATAAAAAAATGTGGTATATTCATACAATGGAATATTACTTGGTAATAAAAATGAATGAAGTACCAATACTTGCTACAACATGGATGAACCTGAAAACATTATGCTAAGTGAAAGAAGCCAGTCATAAAGGACCACATATTTTATGATTCCATTCATATGAAATGTCAAGAATAGGAAAAGCCCTGGAGACAAATAAATTGGTGATTGCCTAGGACTTGGGAAATTGGGGGAAATAGGAAGTGCCTGATTATGGGTACAGAATTTCTTTTGGGAGTGATTAAAATGTAAAATTGTGGTGGCTGTACAAATCTATGAATACATTAAAAAATGTACACTTAAATTGGCAACTTGTGTATGTGAATTGTATGTTAAAGTGGTTATTTAAAAAGAACTGCTCTGAGCACAAGGGTACAGTCCTGCTCTCAAATAATTTAACATAGTAGCAGAGACAGACATAAACATTTTAATATAAAAAAGGTAAGACTTGCAATGAAGGGCTATATGAGCTCAGAGAATAGGACATCTGAGTCTAACTGGAGAATTTGGAGATGTTTTCCTCTGGTAGGACATAATGCCTGAGGCAAATCTTGAAGGAAGAACAAAAATTAGCCTGATGAGGTAAAGTGGAATACAGATCAGTAAAGACACAGGTTTGTGCTAAATACAGGAATTGGGAGAAGTATGAGGAGTGATCTGATGTTTCTAATCTGCAAAGTACAAGGAAGAGAGTGCTGAGCCCAAGTGGCTTGGATAATAAATAGTCATAAAATAACTCATAAGTGAACTGTTAGTTACAGCTTAGAATTTAAAAAGTGGACTCTACCCAGGAAGTGACAGCTGAACTGGGTCTCAAAGCAAAGATCTTACCCTCGAGAGACAGAAAAGTGAAGAAGTGATAAAGAACTTGTATTCAGAGTACGGTGAGTAATTCCCTCCAACCTAAGTACAATATCAAGACATGAGAACAAAAAATGAGTAGATCTGAGCTTATGGAGTTTCTTACATAATCATAACTAATGTAAAATCTATGCCCATGTACTTTGCATCCGTTATCCTATTTAGTCCATGCAAGGCCGTTCTACTGGCAAGGAAACTGAAATCTAGGAAAATAAAGAAACTTGCCCATGATACACTAGTAAGTGAAATAACAGGTTGTTAACACCCAGTCTAACTCCAGAGGCCAGAGGCTTAAACTTCACACTGTCCTGCTCTTTTATCTAACAGATCAGTCCTTTGGATATAATGGTACAGGGAGCCACTGAAAATTTCTCAGCAGTTTTTCTCAGCAATTTTTCCTCATTTTGGCAGCCTCCCTGTTTGTTTCAATGTATTAGGTAGAGCTGCTTTAACTCTGTGTCTTGATAGCATAGCCTAATGTAGTCAGTGTCCTGTAGAGTCCAGTGGCACAGCCTCCCCTACCACCCAAGCTGTGTACTCCAGGTGTGCCCTTTGTGTGGTCTGAATACACTCTCCTTTTGTAGTTGAGCCTTGGTTACTATTGGCAGATCAATGGGAGGGATTTACCCAGGCCAGTTGCCACTTTGTTTCTTCTCTATATCCACCCCCCCCCCAATGGCCTCAATTTTCTCTTTGGGGAGGGCAGAAAGAAAATGGAGAGGGGAATTTGGCTCCAGAAGGCTCTCCTGATCATCCTCCTTCTCCAGAATGGTCTGTGCCACAATCCATCTTTTGCATTTAGAGGGCTTCAACACTATGATCACTCTGCTATTTATGTAAGACTTTATTATCGTATTTCAAAGCTCCAAGGACTTATTTTGTGTTTTTTAAACTTCCTATGTTGGTAAAACAAGTACTAGCAGCATCCTTATTTACAAATAGCGAAGAGGAAGTTCGAAGAGACTAACTGATTAGTCAAATCATATCTCTGGGCAGCTATTTATTTTTTTGACGATAAGGTTGTTGAAGCACATATTTCTTTGCAACAAAAAAATATCATTGTGGACCTACTCCAAGTTGGCCAGCAATTCAGAAGCAAAATAAGTTTCATAACCCAGATGACTCTCTACTAGAACATTGTGGGAAATAAAGTCCTGCGCTCCCCAGGCAACCGGGAGTGACTGAGTCTGGGGGTCGCTTCACATCCCAGGGCAACAGAGGCGCAAGTACGTGTAGAGTGGCGGAACGGATTTTGAGAGCAGTGGGGACGCGTTTTTAGTATGGACCGGAAGAAGGAAGTGTGCTGCACCGCCTATAGGACCCACTCCTGGAAGCCGCGGGGCGGTAGCAGAGTCTGTTGGTGGAGTTTGGGTCGCTCCCGGCGGGTCTGAACCCTTGAGTCACGGGTGACAGGTAGACGCGACCGCAGGCTTCTGATCCGTTTGTTCCGGTGGTGAACTGGACGGGCCAACTTTGGCCGCTGCCCTTTCCCAGTTCCTGCTGACCTTGGCTCAGGGTTGTAGCCGATGGCGGCTTGGGCTGTCAGCCGAAGCAGGACCGCTGCACCATACTTGCGGGTAGTAGGCCCTGGAGCCTGGGTAGCTCTTCCGTGCGTCCCCCCAGGCTCCCAGCTTGACTCCCTGGCCTGTAGCCTTGCTCTGGCCCGGACGCTGCACCTCACCACAGCGGTCTCCGCCGGGCACAACAAATGGTCCAAAGTCCGACATATCAAGGGTCCCAAGGATACTGAGAGGAGTCGCATCTTCTCCAAGCTTTGTTTGAGCATCCGCCTAGCGGTTAGAGGTGAGAACCTGTCACCCACCGCTGATCCCCACTGCCCTCTCTGTGCCCAAGGCCTCATTTGCCTCGTTCGTCTTTGGGAGCTTAGCCAGGGTGCTCACGGATTCTCGGCCCTTCATTTCTTAAAGACGGAGCGAGTTAAAAACTTTTCCAAAATATTTCTCCTCCATATCCCATACAAACATTGGATAAAGTGTTCTAAACTAATCCAGAACAAAGTGGTGACTTGCCACTCTTTAGGGTAATGAGGGGGTGCAGGTCTGGAAATAATGAAATGAGATGATTTTGCTCACTCTTTTCTTATCTCAGAAGGAGGCCCCAACCCTGAGCTCAACAGCCAGTTGGCCCACATCTTAGAGGTGTGTCGGCAAAAGCACATGCCCAAGTCAACGATTGAGGCGTCGCTGAAAATGGAGGTGGGTCCTTAATTTGACCTACTTGTTACTGATCAGAGTCCCTACAGGGTCTATGTCTCAAAGGCCACCCAACACTCCTTATATTATCAGAGAGAAGGGTAGCAATGTGGTCGACATCTTCAATACACAACCTATTGGTGGCTTTTCTTGGCAACTGGTTATAAGATCACAAGCAAGCCTAGGATGAATAGACAAGGTGTAGAACCATAGAGCCCAGGACTGCTCAGCTGAGTTGTGCAGAGATGAGGTAGAAAGAATGTGGGGAAAGCTCTGATGTGAGATTGAGGAGTGTTTGTTTTTCTGATATTTATACCCAAAAGAAAAACCAGTAGAAAGAGAGACGGTTATGATAGTGATAGAGCCCAGTTGAGGGGACACCTCTTCCCCTAGGATAATTAGAAAGGATCTGAGAGAATAATCATCTTTTTTAAATTATATTTTGTTGATTATGCTATTAGAGTTGCCCCAATTTTCCCTCTTTGGCCCCCTCCACCCAGCACCCCGCACTGCCTCCAGCAATCCCCACACCATTGTTCATGTCTATGGGTCATGTATATAAGTTCTTTGGCTACTCTGTTTCTTGTACTGTACTTTACATCCCCATGGCTATTCTCTAACTACCAATTTGTGCTTCTTAAACCCCTCACCTTTTCACCCATTCTCCCCCTACCCCCTCCCATCTGGCGACCTTCCAGTAACTAACTTCTTTTCTTTTGTTTTTAAGAGTCTCTCTTTATTTTTTAAATCTTTGGCCTTTTAATAATGATGTGTCTTACAGTGGCCTCTTTGCATCCATCTTGTTTGGGATTCTCTGCACTTCCTGGACTTGCATGTCTATTTCTTTCACCAAATTAGGGAAGTGTTCTTTCACTGTTTTTTTCAAATAGGTTTCCAATTTCTTGCTCTTTGTCTTCTCTTTCTGGCACCCCTATGAGGTGAATGTTGGGCAGTTGACCTTTTGCAGTTGACCTAGAGGCTGTTGGTACTATCCTCATTTTTTTGGATTCTTTTTTCTCCCTGTTGTAATTGGTTGTTTTTTGCTCCCTTATATTCCAAATCATTGATTTGATTCTTGGCTTTATCCACTCTACAATGGTTTCCCTGTAAATTGTTCTTTATTTCAATTAGTATATTCTTTGTGTTTTTTTAAACTTATTTATTTTTGGACAGAGGGGAAGGGAGAGAGGGCAAGAAACCTCAATGTATCGTTGCCTCTCACATGTGCCCCACTGGGAACCTGGCCCACAACCCAGGCATTTTCCCTGACTGGGAATCGAACCAGTGACCCTCTGGTTCATGGGCTGGCGCTCAATCCACTGAGCCACACCAACCAGGGCTATCCTTTGTTTCTCCAACCAGGGCTATTCTTTGTTTCTCATAAAAAAGACTGGGTCTTTTTTATGCTGCTTAGGTCCTCACTGAATTCCTTGAGTACCCTTATAAACAGTGCTTTAAATTCTGCATCTGATAGATTGCTTATCTCCATTTTGTTTAGCTCTTTTTCTGGAGTTTTGATCTGTTCCTTCATTTGGGCTATGTTTCTTTGTCTCCTCATTTTGGCAGCCTCCCTGTTTGTTTCAATGTATTAGGTAGAGCTGCTTTAACTCTGTGTCTTGGTAGCATAGCCTAATGTAGTCAATGTCCTGTAGAGTCCAGTGGCACAGCCTCCCCTATCACCCAAGCTGTGTACTCGAGGTATGCCCTTTGTGTGGTCTGAGTACACTCTCTTTTTGTAGTTGAGCCTTGGTTACTATTGGCAGATCAATGGGAGGGATTTACCCAGGCCAATCAGCTGTAAGGACTGACTGTGACCATTGACCACCAACTTTCACCCTCCGTGGAGGATCAGCTGTGCAGGGGTAGTGTAGTGGTGCTCTGACCTGGTCTGTAGCTGTTTGCTGGATATACAGGCTCTGGGGTTTTCTGAGTGATGCAGGCCAAGGTAAGCCCCCACCTGTGTTCTGCTCAGGGACCCCCTGCATGAGCTATAAAGCAATCAGAGATGGCTGGTACTTGTGCTGGGCTTGGAGATTCCCAGGCAAAGCCAAACTGAATCTAGGCTGGCTGCTGCTAGTGCCAGGCTTGGGACCACTTAGCAGGAGGAGGTACAGGGGCTGGGGGCTTACTGAGGCCAGCTGTTGATTGTTTGATAGGATTTAGGAAGTTGTGAAGCATGAGCCAAGACCAGCAATTCATATCTTGGCCCCGTAAGTTGGGTGGGATGGAGTCTCAGTAGATCTCTGGGGCAGGGCAAACAGTGTTAGCGGGGTTGATGGAGTCTCAGATATTGCACCTATGTGTCGGTTCTGTGGTTCTATTGGGGGAGGGTTCAGATAAGGGACAATGGCCTCTATCCTGCTTTCTGTCTGGGAGAAGGCTGTCCCCCACCTCCCACCTTGATGCCTGACATCTCTACCGCGCTGGTGCCTTTCATGCTGGTACAGTGGTGCTAGAGCTCAGAAGGAGTGAGTCTGAGTAGGTTCATGTGTGGGTTCTTCCAAGTGGAACTGCTCGAGACTCCAGAAGTTTCTTCCACTGAATCAATCCTCCCTAGTTGTTGGAGCCAGAAGTTATGGGGACTTATCGTCCTGGCCCTGGAACCCTGGAACCCTGGGCTGGGGTCCTGCTGTGGGGTTGGGACTCCTTGCTCCAGAGATATCCTTCCCAAATTTTTACACACTATATGTGGATGTGGGACTAGCCCATTCAGCATCTCCACCCCTCCTACTAGTCTGGATGGATGTGGTTTCTTTAATTCTGTAGTGGTCAGACTTCTATTCAACTTGATTTCTGATGGTTCTGAGTGATGGTTGTTCTGTGTTTTAGTTGTAATTTTGATGTGGTTATGTGAGGATGTGAGCCATATTTACCTATGTTGCCATCTTGACTGGAAGTCTCAAAGTATTAATCATCTTAATTAACTAATAGTTGAGTGTTTACTCCAGGTCAAGCACTTTGATAAGAAATCTGTATGCATTATCTCACTGAATCCTCCAAACAATCTGAAGTGGAAATTTAAACACAGAAAGATTAAGTGACTTGACCAAGTCACACAGAAAATGACAGAATCAAAAACAGACAATCGAGCTCCAGAGCCTATTCACTGTCATACATACTGCCTTCATGTTGCCTGTGGTGTAGATAAGGTGGTGGAGTCAGAGGATTTTCCCGCACCTGGTAGTCTTTTATTTCTTTTGTGAAAAAGGAAGGGAGAAGTTACCAGTTGAGAGTTCCTGGGAAGACAGCAGGCAGGATGCTTGGAGAAAGTGGTAAAGATCAGATGCCTGGGCAAGGTGTCATGGGAGGTCCAGATGAGATTGGTCATTCTAGTTTTTGATTGTTTGCATTTTTGAGGTGATGCTATTTTCAAAGGCTCTTACAAAAAGGCATAGATAGGTATGCAATTTTGTGCAGCAGTACTCGGCAGCCCAGGGGTAGGAGCACAGGTGGATTTCGTAAGGGTTAGGGTGTAGGAGGATGAGTCTTAGTGGGAGTGATGGGTGGGGTAGGTGTAGAATTTGGCCGGGGAGGGGAGGAACAAAGCTGGGAGATGGCTAATTGATTGTTCAGGGACCAGAGAAACAGACTCCCTTCCAAGTTAAGGGGTAGTACTTCCAGTTACCTTAAAAGTCGATCGCACGGGCCTCCTGTCAGAGGGTGGGAACACAAGTAAAGACTTGAGAGCTTAGGCTCCAGCCCAAAGAGCCCATCCCATGAGGTCAACTTTCTGGCGGTGGTGCCTGTGGTTCTGGGTTGGCGTGCAGAGGGGGAATTGGGAGACGCAAAAATGTGCTTGTGTTGTTTTTACAGAAAACCAAGGGCATTTATTTGTTGTATGAAGGTCGAGGCCCTGGTGGCTCTTCTCTGCTCATTGAGGCATTATCTAACAGTGGCTCCAAGTGCCATTCGGACATCAAACATATCCTGAACAAGAATGGGTAGGTGTGTGGGGAAAGTGGAGAGGGAGGGAGCCTTTAGTTTCTAATTCTGTGAAAGGAAAGTACTGTCTTTTCTGGTGCGGGTTCAGATTTTACACACACTTCCACCTCGGCAGAATCGAAATGGGAAAATTCACCCTCCCTTAATGTGTTCTGCAGTAGGCAGGATCCAAGACTTTTTCATAAGTGTAGAAGGGGCTCTTTTGTCCCATTATCCCGTTTAGGTCTTCAAATGTACCACCAGGACTGGAATCTAAGTGGCATAGGAAATGATGTGCAAAGTCTTTGCATCCTCTAAACTTAAATCAGGGCAGAAAATAGAGGATGCAGATATAGTTGGATTAGTCCCTTGCCCAGTGGTAGCTGCATCTTCTCCTTCAGGAAGAGAGCTGCTCTGTGTCTGTATATATCCCAGAGGCTGGGTAGGAAAGAGACAGTGCTGTGCAGCGTGGTGTGGAGGCTGAGTGTCTGAAGGCATCTGTTCTGGCCTGTTTCCTTTCCCATCAGAGGAATGATGGCTGAAGGAGCTCGCCACTCCTTTGACAGAAAAGGGGTGATTGTGGTTGGAGTAGAGGACAGAGAGAAGAAAGAAGTGAACTTAGAGCGTGCCCTGGAGCTGGCAATTGAAGCAGGAGCTGAGGATGTCAAGGAAACTGAAGATGAAGAGGAAAAAAGCATTTTTAAAGTGAGTATGAAGTCATAGTGTTTGGTGGACTTCCAGGAGGGCACTAATAGATGCATTGAGGCATGCCTCTCTCAGTTTCTTTCCTGCACCTGGGGTGCAAGTGTGATAAAAGAGTTCATATACTCCACAAAAGTTTATTAAGTGAATACTGGGTAGGACTTACTCTACTAAGGACTATAAGAAGGATTCAGAACAATTGAAAAGGATCTCTACCAATGAAGAGCTTAAACCCAGTGATATATTATAGTAGTTCCATTCAGGTTTTATAATATTATGACCAGCTTTATTATCTCCTGGCTCCTCATCTCCTGACTTTGCTTTGTCTCTAGTTTATTTGTGATGCCTCTTCACTGCATCAAGTGAGGAAGAAGCTGGACTCCCTGGGCTTGTGTCCTGTGTCCTGTACCCTAGAGTTCATCCCCAACACAGTGGTGCAGCTGGGTGACCCTGACCTGGAGCAGGCGGCCCATCTCATTCAGGCTCTCGGTAACCATGAGGACGTGATCCAGGTCTATGACAACATTGAGTAACCAGACTGTACGTGCCCTCTGGCTCCTTGCTAGGCAACTGGCAGCTTGTTCCAGAGCACAGGCTTCTGCAGTGTCTTCTAAGACTGAGGCAGGTCAGTGTCTTCTAAGACCTAGCAGGTTCAGATGCATAAGACCTGCAGCTTTGTAGACACAGGAATCTCCATACTTCTCTGGGGCCTCTTTGTTGGCTCTGTGGGTGTGTCAGAGCCCTCCTGGAGGAGTCCCCTCACTCCCTCCTGGATGCAGACTGGGGCTAATCAGCTGGCCGGACTGTGATCTCAGGAAGTTGGTCCTTCTGAGGGTGCTAGGTGCTGTGAGGGCCCATGTACTAGAAACTCTTAATAACAGTGGGTTGCTGCATTGTTGTTGTGTGGCTTTTGAGTTTTCCTGCATTTGTGTCAAGCTGTTGACCTTCTTGACTTCCTTTCAAGAATATAGGCCTAGTTCCACTAGTCCAACTCCAGGACTGTTTGTTTTTTGATTGCCTATAGAAATGCAGCTCTCTTCAGGTACTCAGTGCTTTAATGCTGGTCTAATGGCCTAAACCTGCCATTCATTCATACAAAAGGTATTTATCAAACACCAGGAACTGTACCAGGAACTACTTATCAAGAGCACTAGCTGTTCAAGTGGTGCCCTGTGTTAAATCCTACTCTAAGACATAGGACCTCAGGTGGAAGACACAGGACTGCTCTCTTCTGGAGCTGTCCCAGGGCAATGCAAGCTGTCGTACACACATCCTCGTTCTCTTTTTGTAGCCTCTGTGCCCTTCTTCTGCCAGGGAGCTTAAGGCTTTGGCCCAACAGGAAATCAAGTGCCAATGATAAGAGACTCCCAGGCCCTGCTTTGCCTGGGTTCTTGTGTGTTTTGAGACTTGTCAGAGTGGACCAGTCAGCAGATCAGACTACTCTGAGAAAAGGCCATATCAAGCTGCTGTTGAAAGCTGCTTGGTTTCTATAATGCCCAACCCTAGCTCCTCTTCATCCCTGATTCCAGATGATGGGGTACTAGGAACTGGAGAGGAAATGAGAACAGAAGAAGAGTGAAGGCTGGCCAGGTGGAAAATAGGGCCTTTGGTGCCTTTTACTTCTAAGAATCACTTCTGAGTTTAGAGGGGCCAGGAGTGCCAGACACCTGTGCTGGAGTCCATTCAGCATATCAGGCCTGGAGTGGCTTTTTGATCTCTGCTGTTCAGCTACTTCTAAGTTGTTTAAGCCAGTTCTGAGTTGAGAGTAATTCTTCTAAAGAAGCCTCAGGTAAATAAGGATGGAAAAGAACTCAAGCCAGATTAGTTAAAAGTGATAACTTCAGTTTCTAGGAAACACATTACTAATTACATGATGACTTAAAACAACTGGGTAGTGAAGGCTAGGGGAAGAAAAACCAGTGAAATAGTCCATGATTATTCCAAAGTATATGCTCTTATATATACCTCATTTCACAATCATGATTTTAACTAGGATTCTTTAGTTTTTATAGGAGATAACTCATCCAAATATCTAAATAGCAGTCATTAAAAGAGGGAAATTTAAAGTTTGAATGCTCCTTCATAATTTATAAGATACTTTCATATTTTATTTATTTGGTTTTCACAACAAACCTAGAAATAGTCAGATCATGTTATGCACAAACAACCTCACACCAAGCAGGTAAGAATAGGTCTAGTACTACATCTTGTATTGATAGACCTTGTTTTTCAAAATAACTGTTTTGTAAATGTTGAATATAAATTAATTTGGAGGACTGTGGTCATTTCTGAACTAAGGAAGCCTCGTCTGGAAGGGAATTTGCCTGCACATGTGGCACAGTCCTTTAATAGAATTTGTTAATGGATTTTTGTGTAACCAATTGTCCTACATCAAGGCATACCGTATGGCTCTGCACTGACCCCTGGTGGTGCCTTACAGCCTTGCCTGCAGTTAATACGGGAAAGGCAGAAATGAAATCTTTAAATATATATTTTATTTATTTATTTATTTTTAGAGAGAGGGGAAGGGAAGGAGAAAGAGTGGGAGAGAAACATCAGTGTGTGGTTGCCTCTCATGTGTCCTCTACTGGGGACCTGGCCTGCAACCCAGGCATGTGCCCTAACTGGGAATCGAACTGGTGACCCTTTGCTTCACAGACCTGCGCTCAATCCACTGAGCTACACGAGCCAGGGCCAGAAATGAAATCTTAACTGGGACTTGTTCTGCCTCTAGATCTGGTAAAGAGATCTATAACCTTAGGTACATACATAGGTTAGTTAAATAATTATTTAAGTGAATACATACATAAAGAGGGTATGAGTTATTCTGCCACTAGATATTATTTTTCAAAGAATATTTTGTCAAAACATATTTATAATATTGAAAACAAAGATGCAAGACTATGTATTGTATAGTCCAAATTTTGAAATATGTGTCATACCATAAAAAAATATGTCTTTTGAAAAAAGACTAAAAGGAACTGTGCCAAAGTGTTAACTGGTTATCTCTGTATGGTGATGTTATAACTGAGTTTTATTTTCTATAATCATGTATTTTATCAGGGGAAGCATGCTTTTTAAAATTTTATTTATTTATTTTTAGAGAGAGGAAAAGGGAGGGAGGGAGAGGGAGAGAAGCATCAATATGAGAGAGAAGCATCAGTTGGTTGCCTTTCATACTGGGACCAAACCCACATCCCAGGTGTGTACCCTGACTGGCAATGGAACTGGTGACCTTTTGCTTCCCAAGATAATGCCCAACCAACTGAGCCAAACCAGTCAGGACCAGGGGAAACATTTTTTATAAAAGAAAACTTGCCCTGGCTGGTGTGGCTCAGTGGATTGGACACGGGCCTGTGAACCGAACTACCACGGTTCGATTCCCAGTCAGGGCACATGCCTGGGTTGCAGGCCAGTTCCCAGCAGGGAACACATGAGAGGCAACCATACATTGATATTTCTCTCCCTTCCTTCCCCTCTAAAGATAAACAAATAAAATATTTTTAAAAAATAAATAAAAAAGAAAACTAGCCACGTTATTGTCCAACAAGGGAGATACCATGTGACAAGGTAGAAGACAGGTATACCTTAAAGTCAAAAGAATGGGATCTGGTCCTGGCCTGCCTTTGCCTTGGTTTTGGTCATTGTCTTAGCAATACAAAGTCACTTAGCACCTGGTAGCTGGCTTGGGTTCATTTTCAGGTGTCCTTTCAGTGGGTAGAGGTGCCTGTGATGCACTGTGTATAGCCTTGACTCCCAAGAATCATTCATGTGATATGCAGCTGCTTGCTGGCTCTGCCAGAGGTGCTGGCTGAGTTGAACAGGACAGTGAAGGCCCGGCCTCCAGCCCACTGTGGAGTTTCAACCGTGTGCTTGAGTTACTTTCTTTTCTGCCTCTGAAACAGCCTAGCAGTCAATAAAACTTCAAACTCTAACAGACCCCCAACTCTAGACTTTTATTTGAATTCTTAGGGACTGCTCTGGAGACATTCCATGAGGGGAAATGAGCCTAGGTCTGGCAAAACAGTGTTTGGGTAGATACCATACTAGTCTGGACTGAAATCACTTTCTCTTTGTCTTTTTAATTTTATTGACTTTAGAGGGAGGGGAAGAGAAACAGTGATTTGTTATTCCATTTATTTAAGCATTCATTGGTTAATTCTTTTATGTGCCCCGACTGGGGAGTGAACCCTCAACCTTGGTGTACCCAGACAGCATACTACTCCACTGAGCTATGTGGTCAGGGCAAACGAAATCACTTTCTCTCTTTATTCTGTCCCCAGGAAACGACTGGGATAGCAGTTTTTGCTTTTTCTTCTTTTTATTGTTCTTTTGTCTTTGACAGAAGGGTAACATTTATTATTTTTTAAAGAGTCAAACCATATCGAAGTGTATGACAATAAAGGTCCCATCTAATCCCACCCTTCTAAGATATAACTACCATTAATCTATGTTATCTACTCATTGGAACCAGTCTACTGGGGAACAAATTCGGACTATGAATTGCTAGCAACCTTGGATGTGGACTTAATCTCTCTGCAGCTATTTCTTCATCTAAAAATGATGATAATAGTATCTATTTCAGAGGGCTGGTTTAATTTTTATTATTGATTTATTTTAACAGAAAGAGAAGAAGGTGGACAAAGAGAAATATCAGTTTGTTGTTCCACTTACTTATGCATTCACTGGTTGATTCTTGTATTTGCCCTGACCAGGGATCAAACCTGCAATCTTAAGGTATTGGATGATACTCGAACCAAGTGAGCTACCTGGCCAGGGCTCATAAGGCTATTTTGAGGATTAAATTAGGTTAATATACAGGGTGAAGCAAAAGTAGATTAACAGTTGTGAGTACATGAAACAGTTTATTCTTATAATTATTTATTAATTATTGGATTATTTTCCCTATGAACAACTATAAACTTACTTTGCCCCACCCCGTATGTTAAGCACTTCTAAGTGCTTAACAGTACCTGGTAAATATTCAATAAACAGTAAATATTCAATAAGTGTTTAATATTTTTTCCCCGCTAAATATGATTGAAAAATTTTTTAAACTGAAATGTTTCTAAACATTTCTGCTTTATAACCTGTCTTTTCCACTTCACAATATATCCTGGATACTTTTTGGTATTAGTATGAAGTCTGCTCCAAAGTATCTTATTATTATTAGTGTATAATAATTTATTTAACTAGCCCTGACCAGTGTGGCTCAGTTGGCTGGGCATTGTCCTGTGAACTGAAAAGTCACCAGTTCCGTTCCCAGTCAGGGCACATGGCTGGGTTGCAGATTCGGTCTCTCCTCAGAGTGCATATAAGATGCAACTAATTGATGTTCCTCTCTCACATCAATGTTTCTCTCCCTCTCTTTCTCCCTCCTTTCTCTACCTCTAAAAATAAATAAATGAAATCTTTAAAAATAGTAATTTAACTTTCATTCAAGATGGAGGTATAGGCAGACACACTTTGCCTCCTTATGCAACTACAGAAAGAATTACAACAAGATCTCAAAACTGAAACACCCAGAACCGTCAGAAAATCAAATTGTATGGAAGTCTGACAACCAAGGATTTAAAGAAACCACATACATCCAGACCGTTGGGAGGGGTTGAGTGATGGACACAGGCAAAGGAGCAGTGGTGGGACTGAATGGATGGTCCCACGTTCATGTATAGTGGATGAAAATCAGGAGGGATACCTTGGGAGCAAACAATCCCAGCCCCTGGCCAGACTACACAGCCCAGGGTTCTAGCACTGGGAAGATAAGATCTGTTACCTCTCACTGTAAAACCAATGGGAGTTGGGGTGGCAGAAGGAATTGCTCGATTTTTGCCATGTAAAGGGCCCAAATAGTCCTAGAAAGTATGCAAACCCACCCTGGGTTTCACCACTG